AAATCAATATGTACAAAATTAAAGTTAGATCAATTCTCTTTCAGAAAAGACATACACAACCACTATACAAGAGGTAGGGATAAAATAGATATATTGCAGCATAGTTTGGCAAAAACCGAATATTCACATAAATTATATTGTATAGGCCTAAAGTGTTTTAATAAGCTGCGTGAAGAAGCAAAATTAGTTTCTTGTAGTATTAAAAAAAATTAACTGTATGACTGGATGGTTAAAAATCCTTTTTTGCAAAATTGATGATTATATAAATTGTGAAATAATTATTAGATTTTGAAGATTAAGTTAAAATAAAGCTTTTGTTTTCATGTACAAGTGTTTATTTAAATTTTATATATATATATTGTACTGTAAACACTGAATAACCTTGAAACGATGTATAACATATGCATCCTATTTCTTTTATAAAGATCAATGGAAATAAATATTTCTTATTCTTATTCTTATCAGGCTTAAAATAAATCACTCCCGGTAACAAGATTTTATTGATTGAATAAATACCTATTATGAATGAGATGTTATCGTTTGAAATTTAAGATTCTCACTACAATAAAACAAATGTTAAGATTAAGATTTTTAATTTAATCCTGATCAACTACTTACACTGAATTAGTAGCTTACTCTTTATACACAACGGCTAGACACTAGTAGTTTGTTGTTCTTTAGCCTAGTACTTTTCTATGAAAAATGATTTTTTTACATTTTTTTGTGCCAAAATGGGTAAGCCATGCAAAGTAAGCAATTCTACTTGCAAGAGATAAACAATATACCATTTTGTACTCATTGTTGTTCAAATACTTCTTTATTGTGACAAATTTATGCTTACTACCTCACAGATATTTTTTACAGCCAACCTCTAAAAACCTATAAAGGACATAAACTTAGCCTATCATTAACAAATAACATTAATCAATCCATGTTAGAGACTTTTTTTGGAGATTCAAATTTAGTAAATACCCTAGCTGAAGGAAATATCCCACGTAGAGACAGGCCTGTATTGCCAATAAGCTGTGCCAACACAGAGCATGTATTTATGAAGCCGGACTAGAGGTTGAAATCACTGCATGATTTTGTAAGGGTTATCTTTTTCTGTTTACTCTGATATCAATAAAGTTGCATAGCGATTAAATACCATTGCTATTTGCAACAATTTACTTGTACTAACATAATGCATTAATTGGTGTTTTAAGATTAAAACTATTACCTTAAGATGAAACTATCAGAAACTGAATTGTTTCAGCTGTTGACACTTGGAGATGTGGAAAGAACTAGCCTGAGGGTGGCTTATATTGATAAAAGAAGGGAATTTACTCTCCTTTAACAAGTGTCAAAGAACAAATGAACCTGAGACACCCAACAATGTCGTCCTACTTTCCAATGGATTACGATAGACCACCTCATTCATACAAGGAATTGATTATAAAAGCATTTGAATTGGTTAGGTCAAAGCCATTGGAATTACGTGATATTTATTTTCTTATATCGGGCATTTTTCCATACTACAAGCCTGGTGGTGCCTGGCAAAATGCTGTGAGACATGTACTTGTTTTAGATCCTACTTTTGCTTCAGATCCCAGAACAAATCTTTGGCAAATAGTCTCAAATGTAGAGTTGCAAACATCACGGTTTTATCCCTCAAGGTCATCTGTGAATGCCCGTGGTTTTGGGAATCAATATCCTATTTCTGAATCATCATTGTTGAACAACCCCCTTGCTCCGTCATCACCTGATAAAGGATCATATTTTAATGGAAATATAGAAAGCACTCACAACAGTGATGTTCATAGTATCTCATTTCACTCAGCAAACGAACCACGGATGTCTTCTCTGGAAACATCTTACAGGTGGATTGACCCTTACTCAGGGATGAATTTACCAGAGGTGTCAAAATGGCCGTCTAATACACACATGTCTAGCTTCAACGATGATCAACAGTCAACTCCAAGAGAAATGCATAGAGATCTCCAGTATTTTAGTCAACTAAAGTCAGAACCTGTAAAACCTGTGAGACCAAATGCAATTAAGAGTTATAGTTCAGACTATAAGCATTCCAGCACGTTTAAACCATATTCACCCAACCAAACCTCAAATGTATTTATGAGAAAGTTCACAGAAGAGAATATTTTAAGCACTCATGCCGGCTTAAATATCCCAATCAAAGGAGCTTTTAATCGGTATAATGTACCTCAAAATTCATATGAAACCAAGAACTTTAAGGAAGAGACCAATTCAAATTCTTTGAGTAGTTTCATCTCACAAAATGTCCAAGGTTCTGTATCACCGTTGAGCAGTTATTTGCCCCACACTCAAAATCGTTATAAAAGTGATATTTCCAACAGTTTTTGGCCTCATGGAAATTTCAACATTTCTAAAGAGCCGTACAACCAAACTTCAAATCAGTTGATTAGTCTTAACATACATGCTTCACCTTTTCAACGGCAAACTCAAAATGAACCTGATTTTGATTCTCCTTCCCCAAACTCCAATGCTTTGCGAAATTCAAGTCAATTAGGTAATACTTTTGTGAATGATACTGAATTGACCGATTGTGATTTCTCCAGCTTTACCAAACAAAAAAATACTTCTGCTTCCTCATCTCAAATTAATTCATGTACTCCCCGAGGAAATTTCAGTTCCAGTCTGGTCTGTCCTCCAGAAAACACGTTCAAAACAAATGTGAGCATTGATTCACCTACTCGAAGTTCTGTCGGTGATTTCATCAGTAGCTTACCTGTGTTGCCTTCATCATTTTATGCATCAGCCAACAAAGCTAATCCAGATCAAGGAAGGACACCTCATTCAGAAGCTTCTTTGATTAACATAAACATTCACTTATCGGCTTTAGAAAATGCTGACACATGTAGTATGATCAGTAAGCAAGTTGCCAAAAAAGTGTCTGGAATACAATTCAACACTACAGGCTCTAGTAGTGATTATCCAGATGTAAGTAATCAAAATCGTGTATTAGAAAGTACTTCTCCATTTTCTTCTTCAGCAGATGAATGGTATGAAGGTTTACCATTCAAACTGGTTGATACAGTTGATAAATTAAAACCAGTGACTAAAACTATTATGTCAGAGTCATCTAATACTAATTCATCAGCAGATGGTAATAACAGTATTTTCCCTGCACAAGCAAACGATTGCTCTCCACATGTTCATTGTAAAATAAACAACTCTGGAAATGTGTTGACAACAGCAAAAAATGATAAAGAAGTTTTCACTGAAAGAAGTTTTAATGAAAATATCTTAGCAGTTCCTGATAGTTCCCACTCATCAGTCAAAGATATACAAGAGTCACTTCTGGAATCTGATTTGAAGGATCTTTCATCAACAGAACACGTGTTAACCTGTCAAAAAAGTACATCACAAAACAGCTGCTCTGCTACGGATCCAATTCATACTTCTTCAGTTGGAAATACTATTTCCACTACATCAACTGAGGTTATTCCATCCTTGTCTACAAACAAATCTCTTCCTACTGTGATTAATTTGGATTCCACTGCCATGCCAACCCCCAACTCCACTTCCATTCCGTCAAATCAAAACAAAGAAATAACACCACCTTCGAGTGTTCAAAATGGAACCTCTAAAGATATTAAATCAATGCATCTTGACATTGCAAAATCCACAAATAAAATAAAACAGTGCAGTGTTTTTTTGAAAAGAATTTATTTAGAAACTAAAATTATAAAGTCTAAAATGCCAAAAGTAAATATTAATAATGGTGATACAGTAGAGAAAATAACAAGCAGTGACGAAAATACTGAAGACTGCGACGATGCAGGTAAACGATTCTTATTTTCATTCTCAACCTTATAACAAAATATCTTAGGGAAAAGTGACAAGATCAAAATATTGAGTCTAATAAACCAGTAATTCCCTATATTAAGGGTAAACATAAATAGGTAACAGATTGGAAAGATCGAGATTGACAGTATAAAAGCTTGGGCAATTAAACATTGACCATTACTAATCGGGAACCACTACACCAATCTTGTCGATTGTCCCAAGAATTCAGATTACATAAAATACCTCGGATCATTTTCCCATCTAATATTCCAAAATGATGTTCAGTTAGTTTGAAACAAGCTATGTTGAAACTCATTTTAGGGTTGTTTGTTAGTGTATTAAACTTAATATGAAACAATAGGCTACTCAACTGGCAAAGTAAGCTCATATTAAAATTTGGTAAAATATGCAAAAGTTTGGTTCATGAAAATAGTCTTTTTGGTCTAACTTGGCTTGTGAGCTGTAATACTGGTCTTTGATTTTTTTATTAACTTAAGTTTCTGTCTTGAAGGTATCCAAGAAATTGAAACTGTTACTCTTGCACTTACTTAAAAAATAAACACATTCATACTGTCAGCTACTTGATCTTATGATTTTTGAGACAACCAGAAGAACTAATCATAGTTTTAAGCTTAGAGTTGAATCAATAAACTATTATGTTGAAGAATTATTATAGTAAAGAAAGTGAATTTGTCCCCAAAATGCTTTTTCATAATCTTGGTGATAAACAGATACTAAAAATATATATCAAACGTTCATTTGCAGCCCATGTGATTAATCTTTAAATAGTTATTGTAATGCTGCTTTGAGTTAATTTAGAATTGTATCCTTTTATTTTCATATACTGTAGGTCTACCATTATTTTAGTTAAAACAAATACCATACTATCGTATCATATATTGTAAATTGACTAGGGACGTACACAATTTTTACTGGAATGAACAATTTTGACAGAGCTTAATCATGCTTTCATTTTGTTGTAGGAAACGATTCATCGCTAGTTGGTGATAAAGGAGATGTACAAACCCAAGGACGTACAAGGACGTGCAGGACTTTATATCCTGTTGAAGTAAATGGCTATACGAAACCGTCATACAATTATTGTAGACTGATCACACAGGCCCTGGCCACAGCTCCCTTGAGAAGAGCCTCCGGATTACAGATATGTGAATCCATCGCTAAAAAACATCCTTACTACGCACATCTCACATATCCTGACTGGAGAACATCTATCTATAGCGCTCTGAGAAACCGTAAGAAGTTTTTCACTCTAATCGGATCCAATGAAAATAACGAGTTGGTTTGGACCTTCAACCCCAAATTCGAGCAGTATATGCTGGAAAAATGGGTACCAAAGTATGTAAAAGAAAAAGATCAGTCCCTTTCATCGTCGATTTGCATGCCCTGGCTACCCAAAAACCACCCTGATCAACCTCACAATGCGGTTACAAGACATGAACCTTCTACCAGTCAATTGTCCAGTACAAGTACGTCAGAAGACATCGGAACTCAGGGCCCGGTGATTATGTTCTCTGGAACATTAACATCTAGTCAACCAGCCTCCCCTAAAATTATCGATTGTGATGTTTTATGTGATGAGCCTAACCTTATCGCAAACGAGAATTTAGAAAAAGATCCTTTGCAGGCTGACAATTCCAATCCGTCAAGTCCTGTCATACAAAACGTTTGTACTGTCACTGATGATTTTAGGCCTTGGGAGCCAGAAGTAACTGTTAACGGTGAGTTTTAGTGTTCATTATCTTTAAATAATTATTAATCAGCTAATCCACCATATACAGTACTTATTTAAGTATTTTATATGCAAAATGCCACTATATTGCATTCAAAATAAAAATAAAAAATAAAAACACAACAGCTAAGGGAAAGATGTCCATAAACAAGCAAACTACAACAGTTTTCTTTTTATCCATAGCCTAAGAATAACATTGGAATTTTAAATGTAAAGTTTTTTTGAATTTTCTCCATTACAGTAGCCTACCTTTAACTGTATAACAACGCTTCAACATACAAAATATATGATAACATACATGATGTTTGTAATACAAACTGGGCATTTCCATTTTTTATGGTTTTTTGATGGGTAAAATGTTAAAATAAACGGTATTAGCAATCTGACACATACTTTCTCCCATTAGCTTGTCAACAACCTTAATCATGGATAAGCGAAGAGAGTAACTTACTATGATATTTTATAGGTAAAATCACAAACGTTACATTCACTTATGAACCACAATTTTACAGAAATGGTGGGCTGCACTATTTTGTTTAGAATTATAAGGACCATAACAGACAGATTTCAACCAGTATCAGTTTTTTAAAGCCATTTTTCTGTTTTTTATGGGTTTTTATAGGAAATTAACATAAGTTACAATAATATTTGAACCGTAATTTTTACAGCAATACAGTAGGGGGCTGCACTAAGTTGTTGAGAATTATAAGGACCATCACATACTAATATCAATCAAAACCGGCTTTTTCATTATACAATTTTCTCTTATTTTATGGGTTTTTATGGGAAAAACATAACTTAGGCCTAATTAAAAATATCTTTTGAAATGTAACTTATTTACAGGAATGGGAGTTCAACCGTTTTGTTCAGAATTGAAAGGGTTACAACATACTGAATTTTTATTTAAACTAATGTTTTATTTAAAATCACCATTAAAAACAAAAATTTTAACAAATGAAAAAAACAAATGCCTGGAGATATCATGGATTAGTACCTACATACCAAATTTCATCAAAATCGGACCACAGGTGGTCTGTAGCTCTGTACACATCCACACTTACAGACACACACACAGACATCACCTCAATAACCACTTTATTGGGTTCAGGGGGGCCCAAAACTGATCCACTCAAAACTCAAACTCGAAAATTTTGACAAAAACAATACGGTCCTATGTATAGGGGGAGAAAGTAAAAACCTAGTTTCAAAAATTGAAAACACTATAATGATAAAAGAGATTCTGTACAAACCCAAACACGTCAGGTGCCGAACTTTCTATCCTGTAGAAAAAAAAGTTACTGTAGATGGCAAAAAATGTTTATGTCCTTATTAGGAAAAGTTAACTATTTTTAATTTATGGTGAACAAAAGTCAATACAGTTTTAGTTTTACTAGGAGTTTTTATTAAGGAATTATTACATTGCATAATTACTTTGTGTTTATTTGTAGTTAAATATACTTAACATATATAATGGTTCTTTTCAGAGGATAACCAACGAAACAGAACAGAACAAAATGGAACTCAAAAGCCTATCTCGCCATCTGCACCGATAAGAGGTAATCTTAAGACATTCAATCAATATCTATATGTGAATTAAATACTTAAAAACAATTTATAACTAACTGTCACTAGCTTAACAGTTTGGTGGAATATAGAAATTGGTAGTTCAGGTGTTATAGTGTCCACCTCAAAATCCGTTGATTGTTCGTTTCTGGGAAAAGTCAGTAACTTGTTGGTGGTTTGAAACTGGTCCTATCCTTAATCACTGGTGGCTAAAGAAACAGCTTATCTTAGATTTTCACTTAGCTACCCAAGACGTCTCACTTATTTTTAGCGGATTTCCCATATAGGTAATAAGGTATTACCGTAGGTTTCTTAGCAAGACCTGGATCCGGGACCTACTTTTTCAGAACCTTACTTTACTGGGATTAAATTTTTTTGTTTTGAGGTCCCTAGAGGCCAAAAAACACCATCTGTTCAAATTCATACATATATATATTATGTGTATGTGTGAATGATAACTCAAACAAAAGTCATCCGATTTCAATGAAATTTGTTACAAACAGTAGACCTACAAACGAGTTCACGAAGAAAAAACGAGTCCCTTTGGCATGATCAGACCAAGAGACCTAGGTTTTATGAGGCAAAAATTAGTTTTTCCACACTATTGACCCTCAACATTTCCATTTCCAATTTTGAAGAGTTTGAAAACAAATAATTTAGTATATGTAAGTGTTTTTTGTACAATTACTGGTTTGCAGAGAAAAAAAAAAAAAATTAAATTTTAAATTCCTAGGCCAATGTTATTCTTATGGGGAACAAGTACGTAAACTTGTTGAAGTTTGCTTGTTTATGGATTTTAATTTTAAGGATAGTTGCATTCAACTAGTAGCCCTAATCACAATGATTTCAATAATTTAATATGGATACATCAAATGTGGCAAATTTTTTATTTTATACTAAGCTATTAATATTTTACTAAAAACCCCACTTTATTACCCTCCCTGTAGCAGAAAACCTAGGTACTCTTAAACCAAATGTTAATGTTGGGTACCCTTAAATAACTTATTTTAAAGTGAAAATCAAATCAGGCAAATGGAAATTTGCTTAGTCTGCAGGTTTTCTACGCTGGGGGTATTTTTTCATTCATCTGGTTATAATACGACTCAGTTGAGCTCCATTCTAATAATTGTGATACAGTGAATTTTTATTGTTAAATGCCCATCATAAAATTAAAGTTTTCATGATTTAAATTATGTATTTGAATGAATGTATGTATTAAAAAAAATTGAAAATAGTATAATTTTTAAGGTGGAAATGATTTAGGTCTATCAGTAATTTGAAATCAATTCCTTTAAATATATGGATTGTCCTCCATTTTCCTCAGTGAGTAACAAGCATTTAATCGTTCTAAATGGTTGTTCCTCAACAGAGCCTTGTGGTTTTTTAGTTTGTCTAATGTAAAAACTACACAATCGTTCTGAAGCATCAAATTTCTGTCAATTTCAAATTTATTTGTGTTGAATATCTTCTTTTTGTGGATGCAGTATTTTACTCATGGTGTTCTGTGTCTTGAAGGCTATTGATACACACTTCTTACTTCTTGAATTTGTTAAAAGTTTTTATTTACTTGCAATATGCAGGATTTACTGCAATACAGGGTGATATTTTACTACTTTGTTCATCAAGCAATTTCTATAGTATAACTAATTGCTGATGTTGTTTTGAAGGAGCCACACCTCAGAAGTCCTCAAGAAATTTTACTACAGACTATGCTTTATTAAGTTTGGACGAACAACCTACAATTCAAAAAGATGAAACCGTCTACAGAGCTAATGTTCATAAAGGTGAGATTTTAATTCATAGTAAGTGAACCCTAATAGTTAAGGTAATGAATTTTAACTAATGAGATTTTAAATGCTATCGCTAGTATACAAATGTAAGAAATGCACACACTATTTTATATGTCTATCAAATCAAAACATACTTTATTTCCAAAAATATGCAGAATATAAATTATAACATAACTTCCAGTGAACAGACACCCTACTTGCTATTGCATAGATAAAAATAATTAAATATAAAAATACATATAAACTTAATAATAACAACAAAGGATGTAAGGTCTCAGAGAAGCCATGTTAAACATAATACATTATGGAAATAAGCCTACATGGGCTGGAAGCCTGTGCGTAGGCTCAGTCGCTATCAGTGACTTACGTATTTGTTGGAAATATACTATTCATAAATATTCAGAGAATTTTAAAAACAAATAATTTAATATAATTGTAAAACTATTCTGAGGCTAAATAAGTGAAATGAGCAATTTGAGGAATGAGGCAAGGCGGAGGGCACATACATAAATATAGTTAAGAATGTTCGATGTTAGTAATTCAGTTATTCAGTAAATATTACGAGAGAATAAAGTAGGGTCAAGTCTGTCTGTACTCTGCTTTGATTAGGAGTTCTGATTCATCTACACCCCACTCTATCAGACAGCCAGTGATGCATTTTTTGAAAATAGTAATCGATGGAGAATGAAACAAATGATAAGAATTACAACGGGAGATAACATTACGATATAAAACTTCAGAAATGTAAGAGGAATTTGTTAATGAGTAAGACTTGGCTAAATGAGAGGTAGTTATTCCGACATTCTGTGCATATCGGGTATTATAAGAATGTGATGTTTGGTTGAAAATAGAATCAAAGTTCTTGAAAACATGAATTGAAAGAAATTTGATAAATAACTGTCTTACACTGAGTAAGGATAATTCACGAAATAATGTGTTAGTGGGGCATCGAATTGGCTTATTGAAACAAACTTTGAGTAACAACTTCTGAAGGACAAAGAGAGGTTCTAAAACAGTGGGAAAAGCTCCACCCCATACGATAATGCCAAATGAAAGTAACGACTGGACATAGGCGTAATATGCTAGCTTCATTTCCTGTGTTGTTAATATGTCACGCAGTTTCCTAAATGCAAAGATATATTTACGTAATTTAGAGGTTAAAAAATGTATGTGGTCAGACCACTTCATACGATTGTCAAAAATCACACCTAAATATTTATAGGAACTTACTTTCTCAATTTGCTCACAAGAGCAAAATCTATTTAAAAAGTTGCCACAAGAGTGAATTGAAATATTTTTCAAGTTATAATCAGTAGTATCTCTTAGTGAAATTGGTAAGAATTTGGTTTTTGAAACATTTAAGGATAGAACATTTTGGTCAAACCAATTTTTGTATTAAAAGAAGATCATGATTAGCATCATCACGGACGTTTTCCCATCTTGTCCCGTTTTCAAGAATGACGGTATCATCGGCAAATAAAAACAGTTTGCTCTTAATTGAAAGTTTTGTGATATTATTTATATAAATTAAAAACAGAACAGGCCCAAGAGTGCTTCCTTGAATTACCCCATAGTTTATGGGTTTTACGTCACTGGAAATTCCGTTAATCACCACACTTTGCTTTCTGTCAGATAAATAGCTTTGAAACCACTGATGAGCGGTGCCACGAATGCCAATGTTTTCTAGTTTAACTAATAGCTTTGTTCGATCAACAGAATCAAATGCCTTTTTTAGATCTAGGAATACCAGCATACTCCGTCTGTTGTGAGAGATATTATCATTTATGTTTTTACTTACTTCGAATAGAGCGTCAGATATATTTTTTTCTTTTACAAAACCGTACTGTTCTTTGCTTAAAATTTTGTTTGTTTCAAGGTAATTAACAAGCTGATCTTTCACAATGCGTTCTAAAATTTTTGAGAAAACACAGCATAGATATGGGGCGGAAGTTATTGACGTCTGAAAAATCGTTGGATTTGTAAAGAGGATATACTTTGGCTGTCTTAAAGGGGGTTGGAAAAGTGTCAGATGTTAAACTAAGATTGATCAAATGAGTTAGCGGTAGGAGAAAAATATGTATTTGTTGTTTTAGAAAATCAGCAGATATATTGTCAAAGCCAGGTGCAGACCCTCCCCTAAGTGAGTTAACCTAACGTGTGACGTCATGTTCAGTGACTGTGTGTAGCGTGAGCTGCGAGTCATGTCTGTAGTCAGCGTCGTTCAGTATTGGGGTTCCTCCAGAGTCAATATTATTGGCCAGATTTTGACCAACAAGAGAGAAAAAAGTATTGAAATCACTAGCAATTCGCTTTAATGTTTCATCGTTAAAAACATGTGATTGAGGTAAAAAATTCTGTAAAGGAAACGCATCTCGAGATTTGACTCTCCCAGACAGCTCATTGATAACACCCCAAAGCACTTTGGGATCTTTATTCCCCTGATTAATTTTGCTTCTGTAATAATCTCTCTTTGCATTTTTTAACGATCGACTTAAATTGCTTCTAACTATGATAAAGTGAATCCTTAGGTTTTCATTAAAAGGTTGTTTTTTTAGAGTTTTACTAAGCTTGTCCCTCTCACGAATTTGTTGAACAAGATCCAGCGTTATCCAAGGTTTTATCTTTATAAATCTTGTATTGTTATTTGATAATTTTCTTGAGCTTTCATGAGACACTGATATAATTTCGTTAAAACGCTCAGAACATACATTGGTATCGAAACAGTTCAGAACGGTTCCCCAATCTGCGTGAGTAAGATTGTCGGCAAGTAGTGTGCGGTCAATGTAAGTGTGACTTGTTTTGTCGGACTGATTGTTGGATGAATTGTTCGTGGTTACAGTCAAATTCAGTGCAGTTCCATAGTGATCGGTAATACCTGTCTCAAAAATAGCTGTATTTATATATTTTAAATCTGCAATACGGACAAATATATGATCCAAACAAGACATAGAGTTATAGGAGACACGTGTGGGTTTATCAATACACTGAACTAAGCCATTGCCTATCAAACAATTTAAATATCTGTCAGAAATGTGATTACCTTTGAGCAAGTCAATATTTATATCACCCACAAAAATCATCTTTACATTCAAAGGCAAATAGTTAAAGAATTCTTCGAGTTCTGATAAAAATAAGTCAACGTTGCTGTCATGAGTTCTGTACAGTGTAGTGAGAATGTATTGCTCACTGTGTAAAGTAAAGTTCAAGCGTAAACCAAAAACGTCTCCAATAGTAATCTGTACATAAGTGAAAGCCAGACGATTATTTACATAAACTAGTACACCGTCATTCTGATTGCGATAGTTATCTGTAGTCACAAGGTCAAAGCCCTCTATAACCTCTCCCCCCACCCCACCCCTCAACCAACATTCAGAAAGAACAATGAAATCAAGATTATGAATAAACGGATGTAATAAGACTAACAACTCGTCAAAATTCTTCTGGATACTACGAATATTAATGTGAAATAATTTTACTGTGCTATCATTAAGCTTCGTATTAAAAAAATTAAAATAATCCGTCTCTGTGTCTAATGCTACACAGGAATTAAATGAAAGTATATCGTCATCCACTTCACCCAACATGACCTCTGCACAGCCTCCCACCCAGTCAAGGACCCTGAATTTAAAGTAGGAAAAAACCAAATATAATAAAAAATCAAGTAATAATTGTAACAGAGTTGTAAAAGTTACGATATTGAACGATATTGAGTTACACTATTCCTATAGTGTAAAAATTTACAAGACAATTAATGTTCATAATAAAAGTTACATTGGCAATCGGTTTCAACAAGTCATGCCAATCTTCATCAGGCCAGTATTCAGAGATTGTGAGAATCAAAATGGCTTCCTTATTAAAATACTACCAATCGCAGGAATCACGAGGATCAGTTTGCTGCAGTATTGAATCTGCTAACGGTCTTGAGTCACACATCAGGGGTTTTGAGTTACACTTGTATTTAATAGTTGGTTACTTTAAAACAATAAACCACAAAACTAAGGTTGGTGAGTAGTGTCCATTGTTATGCAAATGCAAGTCAGAGAAATTTGTGGCCAAGACTGCCATGCAAACAAAAATAGTTATTAGGTAGTTTTAGGTTCAGGAGTTATTCGGTTACACCTTTATATTTGTGTCTGGTTTTACTTAAATATACTTCCATGTTTATTGTTTCTTTTCAGATGATACCCAACAAAATAGAACACAACAAAATGAAACTCCGAAATCAAATTTGCCAGGAGCAGTACCGACAGGAGGTAATTTGAGATGTTAAATCATCATCTATAAGTGAATTGAATAAATGAAACGGCTCAAAGTGAAATTAGTCCAATGTATTAGTGGAGCTTTTCTGAAACATTTTTTCTACCTTCCCTACTTAACCTACTTTTACAATTTAATTGTAGGTAAATATAAAGCTTATGATCGAGTGTATAAGCAAATGGTAATCAAGAGGTAATTTCCTTTAGGGCGTTTCATCCCCCTATCCTTTGATTAAGTTCTAAAGGGCGCTTTCAAAGGTTCAGGCGATGATGACCAACTTGCTTTATAACATTTGTGAATTCTTTGTTTGAAGTTCATTGTTGGTGATGGTGAGTTAATGTTGTTCAAAGGTTTATTGCGGACATTTTCCATCACAAATGTAAAAAAACAATACACAACGTTTCGGGATCTGGAATCTGATCCCGTCTTCAGGTGAAAAAACTTAACTAACACATTACAACTAACAATACACAAACGCCCAACCTAAGTTGGAATACACTACAGAGGGTAGTAGTCAAAAAATATGCACTGTTAGCAGTCAAGTCATGATACAACATGCAATTAATAACAAATCACAAAACACTATCAAATGGTTTGTGTGATTAGCCAATTTTAAATGCATTTGTTCCAATTCACTTATTTGATTACTTACTCCGGGTCCGTACCGAGAATCAATTCTTTGTTTGAAGTTCATTGTTGGTGATGGTGAGTTAATGTTGTTCAAAGGTTTATTGCGGACATTTTCCATCACGAATGTAAAAAAACAATACACAACGTTTCGGGATCTGGAATCTGATCCCGTCTTCAGGTGAAAAAACTTAACTAACACATTACAACTAACAATACACAAACGCCCAACCTAAGTTGGAATACACTACAGAGGGTAGTAGTCAAAAAATATGCACTGTATAGCAGTCAAGTCATGATACAACATGCAATTAATAACAAATCACAAAACACTATCAAATGGTTTGTGTGATTAGCCAATTTTAAATGCATTTGTTCCAATTCACTTATTATATTACTTAATTCAATTAATTATTTGTGAATTGTAATTCAACAGCTGATTACCTAGTAGTTGTGTTATGGGCAACCTGCGCTAGGTGCAATTGATGTGCAGTGATGTGCCAGACCACCCACGGTGGCACCTCCCCCCCTCCCCCCACCCCTGCACCTCCCCCTCCCCCTGCACCTCCCCCTCCCCCTGCACCTCCCCCTCCACCTGCACCTCCCCCTCCCCCTGCACCTCCCCCGCCATGCACCTCCCCCCGCCACTGCACCTCCCCCTCCCCCTGCACATCCCCCTCCCTCTGCACATCCCCCTCACCCTGCACATCCCCCTCACCCTGCACATCCCCCCCTAGTCATCCTGCACCTCCGGATGTGCCAGACCACCCACGGAGCGAAGTGCTGGTGGCTATCCCTTTGAAGCTTCAATACAATGGAAAGCAATTATCGGCGGCGCTCTCTTTGATGTTTCGATACACCGGCACATCCTGGGATGTGCTAGACCTCCAACGGAGAGAGGTGTAGTCGGCTATCCCTTTGATTTTTCAATACAATGGAAAGCAATTATCGGCGGTGCTCCCTTTGGTCCTAGGATACAAAGGAATCCACTTAACGGGTGATTGACGGATCCATTATTTGAGTTTCTAAAAGCTTTTAGTAAGACCATTACATTTGACGAAGGTGAGCAAATCTTGACAAGCATCTAAAAAGCTTTGTTTAGTTCACTAACAAAGGAAACCAACAGTGTAGAACTCAAATTGTGTAGTAGGCTCTTGCACAACCCCCCTTGCACCTCCCCCCACCTTGCACCTCCCCCCCCGCACATCACCCCCCCATTCGATAGTATCATTCGATAGTTTCATTCATTGTTTCATTCGATATTTCATTCGGTTGTTTCATTCGATATTTCATTCGGTTGTTTCATTCGATATTTCATTCGGTTGTTTCATTCGGTTGTTTCATTCGGTTGTATCATTCGATAGTTTCATTCGATAGTTTCATTTGCTTCAATCCTGCACATCCCCTCTCCCCTTCACTATCCAGCATCTCCCCTTTCCTCTTCCCTGCCATCCGGCACCTCCGGGATGTTCCTGACCACCCACGTAGCGAAGTGCTGGCGGCTATCCCTTTGATATTTTATATTGGAAAACAATTAACGGCGGCCGCGCTCCCTTTGATCTTTCGATACACTGGCACATCCTGGGATGTGCTAGACCTCCCACGGAGAGAGGTGTAGTCGGCTGTCCCTTTGATCTTTCGATACAATGGAAAGCAATTAACGGCGGCACTCCCTTTGATCCTAGGATACAAAGAAATCCACTTAACGGGTGATTGACAGATCCATTAGTTGAGTTTCTAAAAGCTTTTAGTAAGACCATTACATTTGACGAAGGTGAGCAAATCTTGACAAGCATCTAAAACGCTTTGTTTAGTTCACTAACAAAGGACACCCTCTAGAACGTTCCCTGACGCCGACAAAGGCACACCTGTGTTTACCACTGGATCTTCCTCTAGTGTTAGTTCAAAATTCCTGGAAAAATCCATTTCAATCCATCGTACCTGTCACTGCCTGTTACTGCGAAATTTCGCCTTTGTGTGTCACGTCTATGTAGCGGATCCTCAGATAGGGTTTGGAGTTCACACGAGATGGCTGACCAACAGCAAGAGAAACAGCAACAGTGTGTGAGCGATATAGACGACGCCGATTTACACCGGGTGGAAGAGCGGGAGCAAGGACGTAAGGCAAATATACTTCGGCTGCTGGAGGAGGAGGAGAGAGAGGTGTGGAACTTAATTGATCAGGTTTGGTGCTCTCAGCCTCGGGATGATGTGGAATGGATCATGTATGAAGCTGATACTAAGATATGGATAGAACTTTACAAAAAAATTAAAGAGTTGAAGAAATAAATATCCTCCTTCCCTCCCCTCCTCCAATAAGCGGTCTTTTTAAAGGCTACCTAAGCTTTAGTGAGTTAAGTGCACTGCAACGAGAAAATTAGATTGCAATATCGTGCTGTTTAGTTTTCGAGTTGTACCACCCACGTAGCTAGGTGATCACATCAATCACAACCTAATTAATCAACCAAATGAAGAAACCGAATGAAACAACCGAATGAAATAATCAAATAAGATAACCTTATGAAATAATCTTAAGGACATTTATTTCTGAGTTAGGCCACCCACATAGTGGGGTGTCGGCTCTTGGAGTAGTTGTCAAATTATCCGCAGCAACACGCTAGTGGCGGTGTTAAAACCACGATACAGTCTACATTTAGACTACAAATCAGTTAGTTCTATGAGTGCAGTGAATACACTCGTTACGTGCGTGGTTTGTGTTGATTGTTATTATTATGTCTTCTAGTATTGCCGACGCGGAAGAAACGATTCGCTTGATTATGGAAGAGATAAAAGTGATGGAAGACAACGCAATTAGTAGTTTTCCTATGGAAAATGCAGAGGAGCAGCAGCAGCAACATAAGGAGAGAAGGAAAATTACCGAGAAACCTGTGAAGATTAGTGATGTGAAATATGTACAAACCGATAGTGGCAGCGAAATTAAAAAAGAAGGATCTGAACAAGACGCAGGATGGATGTTCAAGTCGACAAATGATTCACCGGCTATAACGTGGATAGACGAAGATTTTCAATACACTGTACAGAATCCCGCCAATCGTGGTCGAGTTTTATTGAAATTACAACTATTTGATGAAGGAGTGCAAACACACAGTTGCGGCATATATTTAAATGAAAAGAAAGGGGATAAAATATACAACAGTGCGAATCATTTACTAGCACAATTGGAGAATTTATGGGTTGATCGAATGACAGGAGTTCTGAAAGTAAACGGTGTGATGAAGTCAATGATGCCACTTCCCGCGTGGCGTAGACCCATCGATTGTGCAATCGAAAACGGTGGAAGAATAAAACAAAGGAAGAAACGTTCTGCGGTGCCAGTGACGATGATGCAATCGGAAGAGACAAAAAATGATACCAACAAAAGCATCGAGTACAAGAAGCCACGTGTTGATGCGCAGCTGCAGTCGAGGGGGCGAAGCAAAAAGAAACAACTAGAATAACTCCGGACTCTGCATGAAACTTCTACAAGGATGGATTCTGAGAAATATTGCGACACACCCACATTCTTCTCCCCACCACTGCACTGATGCTGCTGCAACAATTCATCTCTCGTCCAAACCACTGTGCGGATCTAACGTGTGTACAGTTTCGCTTGACTTTAACTTGTTTTACTACCACATTTATTATGTCGAAATGTGAGTCAGTCAGTGTCGGTAGTAGAGGCGGCAGCGGTGTGATGGACTTACAAAATGAACTCAACGCCGTGCAAGTAAACAGGCCGTACACGAAGATCATTCGAATAGTGAATACCATGAATAGTGCGCTTACCGTATTGTGAAATTTGAACGAGTGACCACACCGTACGGAGAGACTGTCGTGATCGTCCTGGAGGGACTTGTTGGCGATGAGCTCTACATGCGAATCCACCTACCACGGCGCTTCAACGAAGCGATCTCGGATCGTCACATTGACCGGTACAACAGTGGATTCGGTGATCCACTTTACCTCGTCAGGAGATGTGCTGTGGCCGACAGTAAATATACACCATTGGAATTTGTTTGAAACAAATTTAAATTTAATTTTTACAAAAACTAATTTGTACATGAACCATTTTTTTATTATTATTTTTATTAACCTCAAAACAAATGAAAATTGTAATTGTCTTAAAATGATATTGTAACTTTGATAGGTTTTGTAAGTTAATACTTATAGTCACGTTCAGAGCATAATCAAATCGTCTTTTTATTTACACTCCTTGTTCCCTATTGTTATAAATTAGCATAAATTAGTTTGTCGTGTTGTCAGTGTAGTCAGTCAGTCAACCTGTAAGTGAAATGGACTTGAGGTGCAAACACCCTTTTTTCGACCTTAGTTGCCGACCCTGGTAAATCACAATTTGTCATGCGTTTTA